GGAGAGAAATTTTTTACCTTTCACTTAGAAAAAAGTGAATTGATAAAAAAATATAAGAAGAGGAAGCATGCTTATTTATAGTTAGAAGATTTCTTAAAAACACTTTGCCTATTTTTTGGAAAAATTCCAGAAAATTTTCCAGCAAGCCTCAATGCCCACTAACGCATCAAGATCATCAACTCTATCAGTCCTTCAAGAAAAAAAAAGATTACAAGCCCAGGAAAACATACCGACATCGGCTCAACGCGGAATAACAGAAACTTGCCGAGTTCGATGACAAGACATCTAGGCCTCAGTCTTCTAAGTAAAAGAAAAAGAAAACAAGTCCAAGAAAACACGTTGACATCGGCTCAACACGGAATAACGGAAACTTCCCGAGTTTGGTGATAAGACGTCCACGCTTGGCAATTTCACAGTCCAACATATCGATCTCAGAAACTTTACYTTGGCATCATYGTAACTCGATACTGCCAAGCTGGGGGCTAACTGTAGGGGTCGGATTTCACCCCTATGAGATCGATATAGCGACAAAATCAACGTTGCAGCGTCCTGACGAAATCGGATCAAAGCTACAAGGGCCCAGTCTGAATCTAGGTCTAAAATGACATTAAACCCATAATCAAAATGGGTTTAATGAAATAATGGGCCTAATTTATATATATATTGCTTAAAGGGCCAAGCCCATTTATTAGCTGGCTCATTTTACTTAGAAGAACTATATATAGTTCATTATCATCTCCCAAAAAGGGGATCGATTCATTTTGTAACGAGAGCTTTGCAGAAACAGCAATAAAACATATTTTTGACTTTTGCTTTGTGATTCATACTCAGAAGACTCAGTTCTCCTTCCGACCCTCGACAAATTCAACTGTGTAGGATTCGCCGTCCACAATTCATCACTTACTGGAAAAGCAAGAAAGCAGAGAAGATAGCAAACAAAAACAAAAACAATCGAAATAGCGAGCGCGGAGGTGACGGCAAAGCAGTACACACCACTAGCTCGAAATCGTATGTTAGGCGTTTTGAAGAAATGGTAATATCTAATTTGGTGTCTTAATTATATTCATTTTTCTACATTTT